AACATCATCAACACCAAACCAGAAATACTGCATATTTTCATCATATTTATTAATGCTCTGAACTTCAATATCAATGCGTTTTTGCACCATTTTTTTTTTTTTCTCCCACACTGTTACATTTGGTCATTGCTGCACTTCATGGAATGGAAATGTTAATTTACAGTCTGAAAGCTGTACAAAATGTATGCAAAAATACAATAAAAGTTATCTAAGTCTAAGTTTCACAGTTAGAGTACCAGGAGATCCAACAAATGCAAGCAGTGGGGGACCAAGACACAAGGTCGGATGGGGGTTCCAACATCAGTCCCCCTGATGCCCATTGATGCAAGAACAACTGACCTAAGAAATAAGATCATGGCTCAGACAAGAACTTGTCAACCCCGACATCAGCTAGCAAAGTTAGCAAAGGGGCTAGCAGATGATCTACTGGATGATGTGACTAAGTACGATCCCTAATGTGACCATCGAAAAAAAACAGTGAGCTGATAATTAGTACAGCACTAGAGATCCTTGAGATGCTTGGCCAAGGAAATGCAAGAGCGTCTGTAGTGGCCAATGTACTTCTCTCAGAAGAGATTGGAAGCCAAAATCTAGGTAAAATTGAAGACGTAAACCAACTGTCTGAACTCCAGAGGGAATAATCTGGCAAAGGAAGGCTGCAGAAATACAAATAGATGCCCATTTGTGAGACCCTGTAAACTGCCAAGCAAAGACTCCAAGCCTTGGATACCAAAGAGATGAAAGCCAGATGAGTGAACAGGCTGTTCTCCAATGAACCAGCTAAGATGTTCTCCCAGTGGGAGGGTAAAAACACACGAGCCAACCCACCAAGGCTGGTCCTTGAATAATATTGGAAAAGTGTCTGGGAAAAAGAAGCATTGCAAAACAATGATGCAAAGTGGTTAAACAACCCAAGAGTTGACCATGCAAATCTGTCTGAGCAAGGTCCAGTCAACATCACAATGGCAGACCTCCAACAAAGACTCTCAAGTATGAAGAACTGAACAAAATCAGGCCTGGACATGATCCACACCTACTGGCTGAATAAACTGACTTATCTCCATGAATGCCTAGCAGCACAGATGACCTGGCTTTTGAAGAGTGGTGCCCACCCTGAAGGGCTGACTGGGGGTTGAGCATTCCTGATAATGAAAGCCCTCAAGAAGGGGACAACCCCAACCAACTATCAGCCAATAAACTGTCTCTCCACAACATGGAAGCTCCTGTCAGGCATCATAATGGCAATGACAAAGAACATGGAAGAACACATGACAGAGACACAAAGAGGTATGGGTAAAAACACCAGAGGAGCCAAACACCAACTGCTGGTTGACATAACAATCGCCAGAGACTGTACAACCAGGCAAACACACCTGTGCACAGCCTGGGCTGATTACAAGAAAGTCTACAACTCAATGCCACACATGGATCCTGGAATGCCTGAAGCTGTCAACAGCACTCTATGAGCCTTCATCGCAAACTCCAAGGGGCTGTGAAAAAACCACACTTGAAACAAACTTTAAGCCCTTTGCAAAAAGCTCCATCAAATGTGGAATATATCGAGGAGATTTTCTGTTACCCTTGCTGTTCTACATAGGCCTGGACACCCTCAGCCAAATAATCAATAAGACTGGCCAATGATACCAACTCAGAAATGAGAAACTATCCGCCACCTCCTCTACATGGATAATATCGAGCTGTATGCTAAGAGTGAATAAGACATTGACTCACTGATCGACATCACCAGGATTGACAGCAGGGACATAAAAAAATCTACAGATGAGAAAAAGACACATAATAACAAGTAGAGAATGAGCTAAAGAAGTGTTGTTTTTATTTAATCAGAGTCATTAATGCATATTGAGGGGCATGATGGCTTGCAGGCTGGAGTCTGGCTTTTAGAAGGTAGATGATGACTTATAGGCTGGAATCAGGCTTTTAGAAGTCGGATGATGACTTACAGGCTGGAGTCGGGCTTTTAGAAGACGTGATGACTTATAGGCTGGAATCAGGCTTTTAGAAGTCGGATGATGACTTATAGGCTGGAGTCGGGCTTTTAGAAGACATGTGATGACTTACAGGCTGGAGTCAGGCTTTTAGAAGGCCTATGACCGTTTACAGGCTGGAGCTGTGCTTTTAGAAGGCTTATGATGACTTACAGGCTGGAGTCAGGCTTTTAGAAGACGTATGATGACTTACAGGCTGGAGTCGAGCTTTTAATATGCCAATCAGGCTGACAGGCTGATGGCAGGTGTTGAACAGGCTGGAGGCAGGTAGAATAGACTGGTGACATGCAGAGGCGTCCGACCAGAGAGTTATATGCTGATAAGAATCCAGTTAAGACAGAGCAAGCACAGGAACTCAGGAATGCAGGCTAGCACACAGTCACTGGGTTGAAACTTATGCAGACAAGGAGGAAACAATCTGGCAAAGACTGCCAGGCAGACAGGTACTGGGCTGGAGGAATGAGGGTAATGGGAGAGAGGCAAGTGCACCTGCTCACTTTGATCAACTGACTGAAGCAGAGCAGAGAGTGGTTTAGCTCAGCAACACCAAACTTAATGAAACAGGCAGGATTCATCACGGAGATAGATGGGGGATTACGGTTTTCTTCTCCTGGAGTTTTGAAGGATCTAAGCTGAAAGCTGTTTACTTATTGCTTCATATGTGCTCAGTATCATGACAAAAGGAACCAGAACCTTGATGAAAGCAACCTCTGCAGGGTTCCCAGGTTCCTCTATAGTGATCCATGTTTTGCCTTTATGTTTGTGTATTGTATTGGTGTTTAAAGTATTTATTCGATTTGCTGGTCTGCTTTTTTAAAAACAGTGTACTTAAATGTACTGGTAAAGTCACAGTACCTTAACTTTTTGCAAAGGTCTCTCTGGATAGAACCAACTCTCGTCCTGGGATTTAGGAGGCTCTACCTTGGCCCTATTGTGGCTCTACAATACATTATGCCTCATCCAAAATGATTTGGTTGTCCTGAGATTTTTTCTGCATTTCTGCAACTAGATATTTGGGCTGCTGGAGGACATAGGGACCACTTTTCCTCATTCTGCTTCATTCTATATCTGTTCTCCCATTCTGCAATATTTGCTAGTTCAACCTCTTACTTTATGCTCTCTCTGATTTTTCTCATTGTATTATCTTGATATGGTCTGTTCCTGCTTGGTTGTGACACCATCCTGGAGAGAAATAACAGCAGTGCTGCTGCCTTCAACGCCTTTGTTTATGACAAAGGTATTGATTGCAGCTGTAGACGTGTTTTCAACTTCACTTTTCAACCAAATGTAGATGTCTGGATGCATATTATGACATCTTTTCAATGTCTTTCAACCAACTTTTGCTCGGTGGGTATTCTATCTCTGAAGTACTTTGAGATGTCGTGTTGTGAATTGGCCCTATATAAATGAACTGAACTGAATTGAGTTAAATTTAATAGCCTTTGGAAATCTCAGCTGGAGCCAGTAAAACGTCATATCTGGGTTCCTCTTGTCATATCCTCCTGAAATTATTACTGTCACAGTCTTGGTTTGTTAGTTCCTGTTTTCTTGGTTTTCCATTTGTTGTCCTCTGCTGCCCTCTTGTGTCCTCTTTCCCTAGCTCTGTTTTCTGTTCTGCCCTCACCTGTTTTCAATCCCCTCGTTAGCCCTCTCTTTGTTTCTGTCCCCTTTAAAAGCCTCCCTCTTCAGTTCCTGTTTGCTGGATCCTCGTCAAACGTCTGCTTTCCTCATCTCTCCCGGGCTCCTAGAGTTTGGTTTTCCCCTGATGTCTCCCTGGTTCTGGTTCGTTTGTAATTTCTGTTGGATTTTTGATTCCTGCCTCAGCTCCTGTGAACCTTATTAAACCCACTTAAATTCACCTCTGCCAACTTGCCTCTGCATTTGGGTCCTCAGGCCAACACCACATCTTGACAATTACCTCGGTATGTGGTAGTGAATGGGTGTGATCAGAGTACCACAATTCAGCCTTAATGAAACTTCATATGTTTTACTGTTGCAAACAAAAACAAATCTATTCTTACGATGTGAGCTCATCTAATAAAGACTGAAAATTGAGTGACTCTGAGGTTATTAAAGCCTGAAAGCTTTGTAGAGGGAGCTGTTAATTTTCTCCTGCAGTTTAATTAGCTAATGAGCAGCAGGGACTCAGCTGGATGGATGGTTGGGAGTGCGGAAAAGGGAAATGCAGCAGTCGTCTTTGAGTGTTTATGCTCGTTACTGAGAGTCGGTGCAGCAGAGAGCTTTTATTTAATGATGCAAGGCATTGCTTGAATAGTTTGTGTTGCTGGAGATGGAGGCTGAGGACGATCAGGGAGGAAACAAAAGCTGAAGGTTTCTGGAAAAGGAGTAGAAGAATAGGGAGGCAAATCGAAAAGTGGGGAAAGCAGCATCATCTTAGAACATTAAGATGATGCTGCTCTTCTTCTGGACATCCATTCCATCCAGTAAAACAGGAACAAATGTTTACAATTCATATGTCTTTTATTCTGTTAAAAAGGTATTTGCAGCAACATACATTGAGTCTCTATTTTGATTAACGTTCTCAGATTATGGGATGTCAACAGCCTCTGTTTAGTTTTTTGGCCTGATTCAGAGATATGGACTTTTTATAGACCATGTGGGTCAAATACTCTTTAGCTTCAGGTCACAGATGAATGTTTCCTCAGGAATTCAGAGACAGAAATCATTTCATTCCATCAGTTACAGGACGTTATTATGTTCAAAAGACCAAGACCATTATACTTCCACCACCATGTTTGGCTGTTCTGGTTCTGAAACACTTAGTTTTACATCAGAAATACATGAAAAAACATGTTGAGCACATTTCCAATAACATTTATTCCCCTCAGTCCACAGAATATTATCCCAGAGGTCTCAGGGATCATGGAGATGCTTTTCCTTTATTCCAGTCTCTGTCTCTCACTGCCCAATCATGAACTCCAACCTTTACTGGGTGAGATGATGCTTGTAGAGCTTCAGAAGTTGTTCTGGGTCTGGGGTTCTTTTGAGACTTTCTGAGCCAACAGTGAGTTCTCAGAGCAGGTGCAGGCTGGCCTCTCTTGGGGAGGTTCTCTGTCATTTTTTTCCTATGTTTTTCTCTGCACTAACTTTGCGAAACTGAACCAAACAATGTGGTTCATCTCTAAAAAACTCAGAATTTAGCAAAGGAGGGAGACTACTCTCTTACAGCTGTTTTGTTTTGCATAGACTTCAATAAAATCCTTGTTTGAAAATTTTTCGTACAGAATATAATATCTTGTTTTTAAAATTTCTCAATTTGCTAGATGCTAACTGTTGTTTGATCTGAAACATCCTGATAGGATCCAAAAAAACAAACAAAGAAAGAAAAAAACAGAAAGCAAAGACGTCCCCGCCCCCTCCGCAGACACTCTGCTGCACCTCTCCCGAATTGTAGGTGACCACAGACAGGAGGCCGGCTTGTTTTGTTTTTATGACGGCAATTGCGGCAAACAATTAATGTTCTGCAAAAAAAGGTGTACTTGAAGATGACAGAAACATTTCCAGACCTGATCTGCCACCTGAATGAAACTGAGAGCAGAGAGAAATCAGAGATCAGCTTCACAATCCTGACACGCCATCAGGTTTCAGTGACCTGGAATTAAAGTCAGATCTTATTTTAAACTATATTCTTTCTTACTGAACATTCTCTTTATATGAGAAGAATGAATCTGACTCTGGATGCTTCAATCATTTGCGTGAAAATATAAGATTTTCTTGCTACTGCTGATGTCATAAATGATCTAACACACCTCCTCAGATTGTAACTAATGAGGAGTGTGTTTTTGACTTTTTTCACCTCATTCCATCCCTTTAAAGGTAAATTTTGCAGCTTCATCCACCAACAGCCCCCCTTCAGCCTTCCTCCTCCACCTCCTCCTTCTCCTCCTCCTCCCTGCTTCTCTGTCCCATGCCTCCTTGGTCCACCCACCTTCCAGGTTCGATCCAGAGCTGTTTCTACCTCCTACTGTGTTTCTGAGTAAGCAGTGGGCTGGCCGATCAATGCTGCCTGTGCTGACCTTGGAGGGAGCTGCAAGAACTCTCTGCTGCCTCATCCTATGAAAACAGATATATAATGAAGGTTTTATAACTACAGATTCTTGTGCTGAGTCACAGCGTCAGTTTCCCCCCCCCTCTTGCACGTCCATCTGCCCACTCTGGTGAAATGTCATCAGCCAGATGGCTCCTGGCATCGATCAGGTCTGTGTTTGGCAGCATCCAGCTCAAAGCGCTCCGGACATTTCATAAAGAGCTGAGTGAGCAAACGTGACTCAGACTTGATTAGCCCAATCAGACTGACTGTCTGACAGGATGAGAAACAGCATTGAACCGAGTCCAGTTCATTTAGGAGTTCTGTCGGAGCACTTTGTTGTTAATGGAAAGCGTTGGTTCTGACGGCGGTAAGCGATCAATAAAAACAAAGCAGCAGATTAGGAAACAGATGGAAAAACAAATCCTGCAACTTATTTTTTCTAAATTCTGAGAGAAAATATGAAGTTAAGTGACTCTCTGTGTGTCTCTGTTCTGTGCAGGTCTGGTGGTCTTCCTGAGCATGATGGTTGGAGCCTTCCTGTGGGGCGGTCTGGCTGATAAAGTAGGCCGGCGGCGCTGCTTGATCTTGGCGTTGGCCATAAACTGCATCTTTGCCTTCCTGTCATCGTTTGCTCAGGGTTACGGCTTCTTCCTCTTCTTCAGGCTGCTGTCTGGCATCGGGTAACTTCAACATGCATAAGAACATGTTAAAGTCACTTCTCCCTTTTTAAACCTTTGTCATAGTTCCTGCTAGTTTCTAAAACATAGTTTATCAGTCGATAAATAATTCAAAAATCGTGACCTAAAATAGGGCTAATTGATTTTACTGAAAATGAATTATTTTGACATTCCTTTGCACTTACTGCCATTATGCAGATGTTTCCATGGTTACATTGCTTCATGACCTTGAGTTGACATTGAGTTTTAAAGGTTCCCCCCCGCCTCTTTGAAAGAGTTAAATGACCTTTCATAGATTTATATTTCCAATCAATCCACCTGCCGTTCTTAAGAACCAACCTGTACCTGTTGTCACGTCTTGGTGGAGGTTTGGAGGACCCAAATGCAGAGGCAGAGAGGCTGAGGTGAATACTTGTAGATTTAATGAATAAAGGCAGTCCAAAAATCCAACTAAAATGTAACAGACCAGAACCACGGAAACATCAA